TTTCTTTTTTTTCTTTTTCTTCATTTTTTTCTTTTCCTTTATAATTTATATTTGCACGTAAGCTGTTGTATTGACACAAAACAAAACAAAAAAAAAAAAAAAACGTAACAGAGTAAAAATAAATTAGACATTGAATCAATAATAATAATAAATGTGCCTATTTTACGCATTTAAAGACTTTGTACGATGATACACTACCTACGTTTGTTTGTTTGTTTTTTTTTTTTAATCTTTTTCTTTTCTCTCTCTTTCTCTCTCTCTCTCTCTCTCTCTCTCTCTCTCTTTCTTTCTCTCTCTTTCTCTCGGAGTTACATTACAGCATTTACAATTAATTATTTGTTGTATGTAGGTTTATGTACTTCTCTTCACTTTTTTTTTTTTAACTAGCAACTAATATATATTTTCATTTTCATTTTCATAGTCATAGTCATTTTCATTTTCATTTCATTTGACGAAGCGATTTTTTTTTGGGAAGTACAAAATAAAAAAAACTGTATATATATATATATATATTAAAGAGGAGACGCGGTACACGATGAAAAATATTTTCCGACGAACAATGTGTAAAACATGAAAGATAATTAATTTAATAATAAATGTATATTATATAAGGTTTACCTTTTTCTTTTTTTCTTTTTCTCTTTTTTTTTTTTTGTTCTTTTTTTTCTTTTCCCAACTAGTTCATGAAAATATGAGCAAGTATGATTACTCAATGTTTAATCATCTATTTATTTATTTATTTATTTTTTTTATTTATTAATTGCTATTATTTGTTTATTATTATCATTAATTTTATTATTATTATTATTATTATTATTTTTTATTATTATCGTTATTATCACTATTACTATTTGTATTATTTTATTATCAATATTATCATTATCGTTATTATTATTATTATTATTAATTATTATTATTATTATTATTATTATTATTATTAATATTATTATTATATTATTATGCAATCGTAAGAAATTTTAAAAACGATCCCACGTTTTCACGGTGGCCACAGTGGGAGCACAGCTCCGAATAAATCTTATGCATTGTAATCTCTATTTAATCATTTATATTTATAAGCAATGAATATTTTGGTACAATTAAATTTTTTTTATTATTATTATTATTATTATTATTTTTATCTTTTATTATTGTATATAATTGTCCTTCATATCCTTTATTTTTTCCTTTTTTTTTTTTTTTTAGGAAAAAAACGAAAAAAAAAATGAACAGAAAAAAAAAAAATAAAACAAAGAATCGTACTTCTTCCTCTTCTTCTTCTTCTTCTTCTTCTTTTGTTTTGTTTAACTTTTATCTTTTTTTTTTTTGGTGGATTGATTTCTCCCTCTCCTTCTACTCTCCTCACACTTCCTCCACCGATTCCTCATTGATATATATATATATATCATTTTTGGATATGCCGTTATTATGCATACACCATTTTCTTTCTTTTTTTAAACTATCCTTTCTTTCGTGGAAAAAGTTAGTTTCTCCAATTATAATTTTGTTTAATTGCTGCGCGTGTTTGCTTGCATGCGTGCATGTGCATGCAATCGGCGTAAACAACAACAACAACAACAACAACGTCGGTGTGAATCTTCGGTAGCGCATGAAGTTTCGTTTATGCATGTACTCTTCTTTTTCTTCTTCTTCTTCTTCTTCTTCTTCTTCTTCTTCTTCTTCTTAAAACACGCGTTTGTTTGTTTGTTTGTTTATTTATTTATTTAATGTATTTTTTTTTCTCTTTTTTTTTCTTTTTTTTTAAATTGTCGCTTTTGGTATATTCTTGTAGTATGTACGAGTGCGTAATGTTTTTTTTTTCTTTTCTTTTATTATCAATATTACTATATTTTTATTAATATATTGTATTATGTATATATGTAGTATATACATATATATATATATGTATATATATATTTATATACACACATATATATATATATATTTATATATATATATATATATTTACCTAATTTATTACGTTTTGTTATATTTATCATCATTAATACGAATATATAATACATTTTCAAACAATACCCTCCCCTCCCCTCCCGCTGGCTCCGTCGGAGGTGAGGATCATAGTAAAATTCAGAGAGTCAGTCACAGGTAAACGAGACACTAACCATTTTAATAATAGTTCGAAGCGTGATGTTGTGTCACGTGTTTGAATGAAAAGAATAAGGAAATATTAAAATCAAAGAAAAGAAAGTTAAGTAAAGAAAAATAAAGAAGGTTCGGGGGGTGGGGAAGGGGGAGGGGGAGAGATAATGATGAGACGTGAATTGGGTTACTACGGGGGTTGTTGAGAAACAAGGTTGTTTATAAAACGATACTGCTGCATTCATTTCAAATTTACATCCCGATCGTCCCCTCCCACTGAGCACAGCTGAAAATCTTAGTTTTAAGAAAAGGGACACACTACTTAACATCCTCGTATTATGTGCTGACACTGAGAGTACATTATACAACTTAAATGATTGCTGATTTTCATCCAAAGAAAAAAAAAAAAAAATGAAAAAAAAATGAACAAAATAAACATTAATGTACACAGAATAAAATTATTCAAAATTATCATCATCATTATCATCATCATCATCATCATTATCATTATCATTATCATTATCATCAATCATCATCATTATTAGTAAACAATACAATTTTTTTTCTCTGCCACCTTTCTTCTTCTTCTTCTTCTTCTTCTTCTTCTTTTCTTTCCTACTTCTGATCCTATTATTCTTTCTCTCTTCTCCTCTTCTTTCTTTCTTCCTTTTATTTATTTATTTTTTAATGTTTTTTTTTCTTTTTTTTTGTTGTTGTTACGAACTCCATTTTGTCTTCCGAGTACAACTCTAACGAAAGAAATTGTATTTTACGTCAGAAATACCATAGTAAGATATTTGTGTTTTTTCTTTCACTTTTTTTTCTTTCTCTCTTTGTCTCTCTCTCTCTCTCTCTTTCTTTCTTGATCTTGATCTTCCTTTTCTCTTTCTGTCTCTTTCTTTCTAACAACGATAATTTCTTGCTTGTAGTGTATGGACAATCGACGTAAACTAAAGACTAATAATTGGGCAGCGTAATAGTGTATGTTCACCTGTAATATAAAAAAAATACTTTGTAAATTTATATTAATAAACGGTACTTACGTATTAACACAAACCGCAGCAAAAATTTCGCTAATGTGCGAATAAAGAGCAATCTTGTTGTTCGCATACAACAACTTTGTTGTTTGCACACAGCAACCGTCAGGGTCTTGTCAGGGTTTCGTCAGGGTTTCGTCAGGGTTTTGTCAGGGTCTTGTCAGGGTCTTGTCAGGGTTTTGTCAGGGTCTTGTCAGGGTCTTGTCAGGGTTTCGTCAGGGTTTCGTCAGGATTATGGCGACAGCAATTTTTATTCTATGATTTGTCGCAACAATTTAAGGTGTTGATTGGGGCATTAGCGGAATTTTGCTGCAATGGCGTTAATACGTAATTACCTAATAAACTTTTTACCTTACATTTATAAAGATAATATAAATTTGATAAAAGATTCTAAAAAAAAAAATTATTATGTTATTCTAAAAAGTAATATAAACATACGTACTAGCTCAGGGGCGGTTTCGCGTCGCAGGTGCAGGAACAGAATTGTTGGATGTTTCTGTTAGTGTACCACCACGTCGTTCTATTTCGAGTTCGTTTAATTTTTTCCATAATTCTTCTCTCTCTTTCTCCTTTCTCTTTTCCCTATTAAATAAATATATAGATAATAGTAAAATGTATATAGTGTTAATTAAAGTATAAAAAGATACCATTAACCCTTTCACTACGGGCGACTTAGTGCTCGAGTAAAATCGACAGCGGCCGCGTTTATGCTTTACAGCAAGCCGAGTTGGTTTGATGGTGTTTATTGAAAAAAAAAAAAAAAGAAACACTCAACAAATTAAAATGTTTATAACATTTAAACATATAATAACTTTTTATTAAACTTCATTTGAAGTAACTCTAATCGTTCGTCATATGTATTATACAATGTACAATTGCGCGGCGTCATTTTATGCACAGCGACTATAGCCGCCCATAGTATGTGAGTGGCATTTTATGTACAGCGATTTCAGTCGTCCGTAGTACGTCAATAGCATTTTATGGAGAACGACTATAGTCGCCCGTAGTGGCGAAAGGGTTAATTTTCTTACCTTTGCCTTTCAGACTTATAGCTGGCAGTAAGTTCATCAAATTGCTTGCTGTTCATTTCCATAAACGTTTTGAGTACATTATAAACAAGTGCTACAATTGTCTGATTCCAATGTTCCTTGCTAATTTTATATAACGCGGGAAACATAATCGCCATTATTACATGATTGTTTTCTTCTATCAACGACATTATATACTCATTATTCCAGAAATACAATGCTCTCTCTGCGACCTATGTATCCAATATACATAACATACATACGTACATATTCAATTAATTACGTCAAACAATATTCATTATATTCCGATTATTATTATTCAAAYATATTTCCTAAATTAAAAGACAAATTACCTGGAAATGCGGCGAGGATACGCAACGTGCGATTTGCCTAAACAAAGGCTCTTGGATTTTAACAAATTGGCTAGGTTCTATGACATCAAGTATTTCCTCAATCTCACCAAGGAACATTACCTCCTTCTGGCTGCACGTCTTAGGCCAGAATTTAAGGAGGCCTCGTACAACTGGTTCCGTTAAGGTTGCGTCTTTCTCCAAAAATTGTACAACGCAATATGCTAACTGTGGATGATAGAGCGATAAACACTTCACTTTGTGTAATGGTAATAACACCTATATATCACAAAGAAATCACTTGTTAGAAGTTGAAGACATTTTTAATATAAATCATACGATCAAATATTTTCTAAAGACAATTTACTTTAAATTAATATTGTAATATTACAATGAAACTGTACCTTTATCAAGAACTGTTTGTGCTCTACCTTTAAAGGTAGAGCAAATCCATTAATGATGCTACCCAAAATTTCTAGAAGTTCACCAACTCCATTAAAGTGTTCCGTCTCATAGACAAACCTACAAAGAGAAACTAATTTTAACGGGTTTTTAATTTGAATAAATAAACAGTTATCCAATTATTAATCCTTTACATTTTATAAGTATTAGATAAAAAGTAAATATATATATATATTTAAATAATACCTTTAATCTATTAAGTTTCGTGTATGTATATAACACGTGAAATATTCTAAATAAAATATATAGGTTATATAAAAAGAATCAAAAAGTACCTCAGAAAAATGTTGTTAATTTGTTTGCGTATAAACGCTCGAAGACCGAGGAACTTGCCATAAATACGATGCAAAACGGTCTTAAGAAAATCTCTTTCCCTAGGATCTTCCGAGTCGAATAATTCCAATAACTGTAATTATAAAATATGATTTAAATCGTTGTATATTTTTCTACAAACTTTATTTAATATCTTCATATAGAAAAAAAAAAGTGAGTCCAGTAATTAAGAAAATTAACTTGTTTTTCTTTTTATACCAGTATTGAATTAATTCAAACAAAGCGTTAGACCTTAAATTATTTATCAACCAATCAAATTAACAAAATACTTCTTTGAAGATAAACAAAAACAAAAAGAAAAAGAAATATATAGATAATTATTGTATATAGTAAAATTATGAAATTTTATTTATTACATTAATTTCATATATACGATTCTCACTTGTAAAACAAATTTTTGGTCAATGACTTTCTTGCCAATGGTAGGTTGGAAGTCTGAAGACTCAAGAAAGCGAAGAAAGAATTCATAAACCAACTGAAGGTGGGGCCAGCTCGCCTCCAGTGTTGGATCATCTTCCTCCGGATCAAAATCTGGATTTTCACTAGGTGGCAACGTACGGAAAAGGTTCGCTGATATCTAAAAAAAAAGAACAAAATTATGATCATATTAAATAATAAATAAATTCAATTGAAATCTAATAATAATAATAATAATAATGATATAAATACCATCTTGATAATTTCTGGGTAAACAGGTTCGGTAAGAACGCCCCGTCCAGCTGTGATGTATTCCACCAATTCGTTGAGGGTACTGCGTTTAATTTCTTTCCCCTTGAGATCCGCCATTGGGTCCATAAAATCGAACGCCACACAGCATTGTCGAAGTTTTCTAATAAACAAATCTTCTTGCTCCGACGGCGTAACATCTGTAAAACAAATTACAGATCTGTTATAGCAGCACAAACACAATGTGTTTCATAATAATTATTACAAAATACATTTATATTTATAATACAATAATAATGTTACAAATATGTATCCAATAATAATAATAATAATAATCAAAATGGGAACTAAATAAATCAAATTGGATAACATTTTCTATATTACAATTATTAATATTATAAAATTAAATGACAGAGAGAGAGAGAGAGAGAGAGAGAAATTATGTTCTTCTTCAAATTATCGAATTAGTGAATGATTGTAAATAAAGTTCATGACCGAGTTAGTTTACTTTTAAGTACATAATGTATTGAGGTTGATCAATCATTCTCAGATTTCCTTTTGCAAGAACGTGTGTCGTCATTGTTGTGTTTCAATGAAGAACAGTATACATGTAGATACGTGAGAACACGTTCGTACGTTCTGACCATTCATTAGTACTACCATTATGTCGTTACCGGTATTAATCGTGCGATACGTTATCTACCAGTTGCAAGAATCAAATATGAAAATGATATCATGAACCGTTACATGATATCGTTAATGGCTACTTAAAACATATTTTTCTTTTTTTTTTACTATTTCAACTAATAAACAATACATATAAATATAACACACATTTTAATATATATATATATCATCAATTTATATATTTTCTAATTATAAAAAGGGGTTGGATGTTTCAGTAAAATGTTTCAACTAAGATGATAATTTAACACTAGATATACCACCATTTTCTACCACACTAGTCAAAATGACTGGTGTATACAAAAAAAAAAAAAGTGCTTTTTGAGGCTTCCAGTCTTTATTTACTCTTAAAAAAATAACAAAAAATGTTTAACAATAATAATTATTAATAGATATTTTTAAATAACAAAACGCTTAATTATTTACAGAAATCAAATGTTACATGAGGTAGAAATTTTGAATTAAAATGGCTCCCGACTAGTCAAAATGACTGATCTGATTTATCTAGTGTTAAGTGATCTTATATTTAACTATTGCACCCTGTATAATTATATATTAAAGTTATAATTAGTAAAATATAGAATAAAATAAATTTTAATAATCATTGATCGTTGATAGAATATAAAACAATATGTCCTCGTAATTGCACAAAGGGTATTCCCCCTACTTCTCTGACTTTTTATTTCTAAAATAGAGAAATTAGAACACAGCTATCAAGACCTTTCATCTAAAGATTATCAAATGGATCAACGTGACTGATAATGTGGACAATAATAGTTTATGTAGATGCTTGAAAAAAAAAAAAGAAAAAAAAAAGAAAAAACAACAACATAGGAATAAATCTGTTAATAAGTACTTCAAACATTTTTAATTCATTGTGTTTATAATATTTTGTGTGTGTGTGTGTTTAAAAACTTGATATTTGTTAATTTTTGTAATTAGTATTACAATAAGCTGTATTGTTTGATAAAAAGGGATTACAACATAATCCCGGATGAAGTTTAAATCTTAAAAGTTGTCTCACATAGAGAAACTAGGAAAACGACTGAAGGATCATTATCTTTTATATTTAAAGTTAACACTTATACAGACACATTTGTAGTGAGTAGTAGTAGTCGACTTTTAGCCCTCAGGGAATGAATACAAAATAAAGGTAAATAGAAAGAAGTGGGAATACGTGTTACCAAGAAAAATCAAGTTTGTATTTCTTTTTTCCACCCCCTCAGTTGTTCACAAGTTTTATATAAATATTTTTTCTCCGAGCTTTTATTTTCTTTTTGTTTTATTTTGATTATTATCTTTTATACTATCTATATATATATATATATATGTATTCAAGTGTCATAAAAAATTAACATAATCGTTAAAACTTATAAATTACTGAATCATTTCTTTTTTGCAAATTATGTTATTTTAAAGAATGTAATATTTGGCGCGAAAATATTGAACGAATTTGAATGAGTCAAAAGAGAACTAGAAAAAAAGAAAAGAATAAAATAAAAAAAGATAATTATAGGGTTAAATGTGATCATTAAAAATGTATAATAACAATATCATCTTCTTTAAATTAATTAATTATACAAACTTATAATAATTTCAAATTAATTAGTTTCTCTTTTGATTAAAAGGTAACGCATAGAGTAATATGTTTGTTTCTTGTAAAAAAAAATAATAACTTTTAGTTTATACATTTTAGATAATACAAAAAAAGAAATAATATGCAATATGAATAATAATAAAATAAAGATTAACCCTTTCGCTACTATGGGCCACTATAATGGTCGTCCATAAAATGCCGCGTATTTTACATACGACTAACACATATGCAGTTATAGTACATCAAATATATCCCATTATGGACGTGTAATTTTAGTGTTTTGTTTTTTTTCAATTAAACATTGTTAATATCAACAACAATATTATTCAAAAATAAAGTGCAGTTTTGATATTGCACGTATTAGCAGTTTGTAGCAAAAGGGTTAAAAACAAATGGTACACCACACCTTTGTGTTTAAATTCTAGTGACATTTGAGCAGAAACTAACAAAAAGTAATCATATTAAATTTTGTTGTTTACCGACCGGAAATGCGTTTGCGAGGGATCCATTGATATTTATATGCGCACGCATAATCCTTCCTATTTTTTATCGATCGATTGATTCTTCATACCTGAACGTGTGGTACACGTTGAAAATACGAATTTTTTTTTTTTTATACTGTCAGCATATATACATTAAAAAAAGAAAAGAGAGAAAAATATTCAAATCGATTTCTTTACACAATACTGGCAAATCGAAGCGTTCGTCCGAAGAAAGAAAAAAAAGAAAGAAAGAAAGCAAAAAAAAGAAAATAAAATTCGTACGGTGGTGCCCTCTCGTCGATAAAAATGTTACTATTCATAACGGTTTCAAGCCGCGGGTTTTATTGAATTCCTCCAACCTGGTCATTTTCTCACAGATAACACCATGCAAATTTTTGATGCTATATATAAATATACCATTCGTAAAATGTTTTAACGTATTTTTTTTTTTTATTTCCTTTTTTTTCTTTTTTTTTTTTCTTTTTTTTTTTACCAACGAAAACATCAAAATAATATTTATTTCTCTAGAGAGAATTCGAAAATAAAAAAATAAAAAATAAAAAAAGAACAAGAAAGAGAAATAAAAGGGGAAACATTGAATTTATTTAGCAAAAGTTTGTTTCCTTTTTTTTTTTTTTTCAAAATTCATGATAATTATAATCAACGACACATTAATTTGCGTTTAATATTGTAGAACAAATCATACGTTCTACTACGTGTTCATTTTTTTTTTTTTTTTATGGAAATGAACGATTTTTCGTATAAATTATGTTTTTTTTTTTTTTTTTTTTTACTTTCTTCATAGTAATTACACGTTATCAACGACTACCTCCTACATTTTAAGTAATGTACGGAAAACCCTAATTTATTTTCCCTCGGATAAGAAGAGCTAAAGCGTCAGAGGATTTTCAATTACCTATAATCCGTGTTAAAATGACCGAAGAGAGATAGATACCTACTTCTCATTGGCAGATTTTACTCGACTTTCTGTGGAAGCCATTTTTGTTCTTTCTTAACAACTTCTACAATATGTTCTTTTATTATCACAATGAAAAAAAAAAAAAAATACAAAATACGTCGTATGAATTTTTGTTAGATTTTATGATTTAGAAAAATTCTAATTAAATTAATTGAATCAATTTAGAAATGTAGAAAAAATCATTTACATACATGATTCTTGTATGATTCAATAATATAATGAGAAAATATATTTAACAATTTTTAAATATATAACTCGTAGGTTTAATAACAAAAAAGGGAACAGAGAGAAAAAAAAAAGCAGATGTCGTCTTCAATGTAGAAAAGGTTACGGATAATGGCATTCGATATATGTTGGTATGATACGCATATATGCAAATATATATATTTTATATATATATATGAGATGGCTTTGTAAGTAAAACAAGCGTTACGAAAGACCCTTTCAACCATTGTATAGTAATATATACGGTCATGGTCTTTTCTATCTTTATCTATTATTATCATTATCATTATTATCATTATCATTATCATTATCACTATCACTACCACTTGATGAAATGATGTTTTTCCATTATCACGTGAAGATATTTCCTATCTTCAGATTACGAACATTGTCGTAAATATTTTGAAAGACGCGCGAGTTAAAATGGCGTCGTGGCGGGTAACGATTTAAATTTGAATATTAAATTCAAATTACGTCAATATTTAGCAACCCTTTAAAATAACACGAAATAATTAATTATAAAACAATTCGAACGTTATAAAATTAATTTCCAAAATAATAATAATAATAATAACGATTTAAGTTTATAAATAATAATAAACAACAATAATTTAATACAATATAATTAAATTATTTACTATGAAATGTCATTGAAAAAGTATTTCATTTTTAGTTAACGAACGAAATCAAATATATCGAAACACCCGATAGAAATGAAATTATTTATTCATGAAAATGAGGAGGATATCTTCAAATTAAATTTACTTTAATTAATAATAGAATTGACAGTTTGTTATGTGCACATAACTTAACCTACAATTAAAAATTATATCGTAACGAGGAACGTTTAAAACAAAAGAATCAAAAAAAAAAAAAGAAAAGAAGAAGAAAGAAAATCATTTAGGTTACATTAACTTCGGCAACGAAGGAAGAAGAAGATATGCGATGTACCTCTTTAATAATTCCCCTTTTGTAACGAACTCATAATGCCCCGCGGTTATGACACCGCCATATTGCGCGTTCCATGCGATCGTCTTTTCTCGAACAGTTGGACACAAACAGAAGAATGTTGAAAGTATTTTTCCATAAATTCATAAGAACAACAAATAACGAGAAATATTAGTAGAATACTATTTTTTGTCCACAAATGTCGTCTGTTAAATAAAAAAAAAAAAAAACATTCATTTGTAATTTGTAACAAAATTTTCAATTGCATACAACATTGGTCAGTCT